TGTTGTTGTGGTTGTTGTTGTTGTTTTGTTTGTTCGTTGTACTAGTTTAGAAGGAAACAGAAATGTAATAACATGATAAGCCTTCAAATCGCGTTGTAGAATTAAGTTTTGGGAATTTTTTTTTGACTTACGGATTTTGAGGACAAGTAACTCATGCCATCAGCGATTTGCCAAACAAACTTCATCAACTGTTGTCACGCCAGATTTGTTTGTGGTTTATTTTCTGGGTCTTTGTAGAAGATGTCATTTAATCCACGGCACTTTCTTAGGTAACCAAGCAGATCACCTAAAGAAACATATTCGATCAGTACCAGGAGTGGCTCTGCAACGGGAAAAGTGCCCTCTAAATTTGAAGCAAATTATCACTGACGAGAGACATTAAGTTCTACAGAAGACATAGTAAAATTAAAGTAGAGGACCACTTACTGAAAGATCAACCTCATTTACCACCAGGAATGGCTCCGCCAAAGAAGAATCGCAACTGAACTCATTCTTCACAAGACAGTCTCACGAAACAGACCATTAAAGAGAAATAGAGGACCATTTGCAATTTGATCGAGCGTTCAACTGAACAAGCCTACACAAACAAAGCTTACCAGATTCCGTAACACATCCCAGAAGTTTATTGACATGAGGATGAGGTTTCAGCTGCTTCATTGTTTCCAGTTCTTTCATTAAATCTCGCTTGTCAGACTCGGCGGCGTTGGCTGGAAAGTTAAAAGCAAGGGGTGACCTTTGCTTAACTGCAATAGCATGCAAAATGCCAAAGCATTAGCACCTCGAGCTCGGTTCTCGAGGTCCCCCCTTACTCGAGCTAAACACCGTTTTCCCTTGGATTTGACCCCCATTTTCATTTATTATCAGCTAACTCCAACTCGGTTAGCTCAAACTCTCTGTTAACTCAAAAACCCAAGTTTTACATTTTCTTGACTCGAATTCACCCTGATTATATGATCTTCAACTAAAAAATTTGGCCGACAAGAGTCAAAGTGTCATAACTTAGTTGACTAACATGTCCCAATCTTAAATCGCGA